GCCTCCACGACTCTTAACATTATACCAACTATCTAAACTCTATCCTTCACAAAGATCCTTGCTTTATCATACTCCTACCTCTCCAGTAATCTCAAACCCTAACTACATTTGCTTTAAAAAAACTACTAGACCGAACAAAGAGGGACCTCAGTCCCTGAACACATCCTTACGGGAATTCTTTACCACTAAATCCCCAACTTTCACTTCACTTCACTCTCAACCATCCGTCAGTGCGTGGTTAGATTTATGGCTGGAGAAATGTAAATTACGGTTTTTTTTTCGAAGAAGAATATTCTTATAGTCAAATTTAAAAGAGGTGTAAAAGCCAAGAGCATACCAACTTCAAAGATATTTGTTTATACAATAAATATCATTGGCAGGGAAAGATCAGTACATCCATACGAAGATGTAAGCCACCTAACATTATTCCACCACTCTCTTCTTACAGTGAAATTTAAAAGAGATGTAAAAGCGAAGAGCACACCAACTTCAAAGATATTTGTTTATACAATAAATATCATTGGCAGGGAAAGATCAGTACATCCATACGAAGATGTAAGCCACCTAACATTATTCCACCACTCTCTTCTTACAGTGAAATTTAAAAGAGATGTAAAAGCGAAGAGCACACCAACTTCAAATATATTTGTTTATACAATAAATATCATTGGCAGGGAAAGATCAGTACAACCATATGAAGATGTAAGCCATCTAACTTTATTCCATCGCTCTATAATTTTCTATATGCGATTAGTCAATAGATGAAAAGTTGACATATATAGAGAGGTGTATAATGTCAGTTCATTTGTTTTTGGTAATGAAATTGGTGCAAGCACGGTACATTATTCTATAGAGATTTTAATGAATTAATAATCTTTGGGTGTCCTGGGTTAAAACAAAGCTTCAACGTATACGTATAAGCACTATTAGTTGCTTTTATATTCGATCTGATTTGTTTGGTTGTTTCACAGCAAAGCCACATTGGGCTACCTGTTGGACTACTTTTATATAAACGGGTGTGAAGGAATATTTGATGCATCGGTGATGGTCAATAGAAGTATGTTTACTCGATAAAATATAGACCCTTCTTCACAGTAACTTACTTTAATGGATTTGAATAGTTATTTAATTACGTGTGTATCCGAATTCTGGAAATTGCTGAGTGGTTAACTTTTCCGTTTTAACATCCCGAATTTTTTTACCTGTTCAACCTTCTAGTACCATATTATTCCCTGCACCATTACAGAACAGGGACTGTTAAAACTGAATAGTATATTTAAAAATATTATCTGTATAACAATATTATATTAAACGAGTGTATGCCATATAAAGCTAAAATTGTAAGTCGATTTCGCAGTTCTCTAAATAACTATACATGTTGTTGATAATATTGCATGAACCTATCTGACTCTTTATATTGTGAACTTTGATAAAAGCGGACAGACACTGAGTAGAGCAATAACAGCTTGACTTTAGTCTACCTGTATCCAGTGATTTCGTATTTCTAGATGTACTGCAAAATCATCATTAAGTTTTGGTTTTCTGTTGTTCTCGGAGAGATGTAATGTAAATTCTTGTCCTTTAGGGCGCTAGACTCGCAACCTGATGGTCGCGGGTTCGAATTCCCGTCACCGAACATGCTCGCCCTTTCAGCCATGGAGGTCTTATAATGTGACGTTCAATCCAAATATTCTTTAGTAAAATAGTAACCCAAGAGTTGGCGGTGGGTGATGTTGGCTAGCTGCCTTCCCTCTAGTTTATCACTGCTAAATTAGGAAGGCTAGTGCAGATAGCTCTCATATAGTTCTTTTTTTATCATTTCGCGTTTTACTTCATCTTCTTATCTTTTTATTTTACCAGTTGCAATTAATATTAACCTTCTTTTACCAGTAACATGCATTCTATACCATCTGTTTAATTACACCCTAAAAAAAGATTAAAGATAAACGGAATCTGTAATATTATAGCTGTTTGTTCTTAGTTAAGCACAAAGCTACACAAAGGGCTATCTGTGCTCTGCCCACCACGGGTATTAAAACCCGGTTTCTAACGTTGTAAGTCCGCTGTGCCACTGGGGGGGCAATATTATAGCTATGAAAAGGTCAAAAACCAATGTTGTAAAGTAATGTCAATCAATCATTCAGTTCATGGTTATACATAATAGACAGATGATGATCAGTCATGCGTTCTGAAATTAAAATTACTTGCTCCGTTGTCTATTTTTAAGTAAATCACGGAGTTTAAAGTACACCAAATTATTCGTAAAACACAGCTAGTCCTCAAAGAAGTCATTTGTATGTTTCACTTATGCGGAGAGCCATTGGACAAATGAAATTTTAAATGAGTATATCTCTGTTACTTAGCTGTAGCGTGAAGTTCGATTCATCTCTAAGATTAACATAGCGGTCACTTGCTTGTGTTGTGAATGATAACCGTGCTCAAGAAGTGTTGAAGAAGAAACTACACCATTAACTTGGTAGCGGCTTCCAATTTTTTTTAACTATACTTTAAGACACTTTTAGCTAAATCAAAACAGGCTTCTGTGATTGGACGTCCTATATTCCCATTTTGATA